TATAGTTAATAAATCTACTTGTTTGTTGTAACAATCGCTTTTTTGCTTTTTACTGGCGTTGATATGATCAGTGACGGTTGTTGAAAAGAAAGTTTTGCTGACATTTTTCTTCTGCAAAATAATTTGCTGATTTAAATCAATTTTTAAAACACACTTTGGGACTGGTAATTTAGAAAAAAAATTTTTTTTTAAGAACTATAAAGGTAAAAATAAAAAAAAAAATCTGCTCAATTTTTTTTCAATGCTTTCTTACTGTAAAGACCAATGGCGCTTCTGTGGAGAGCAGTTTTTCAGCGGGCGATAATGACCAAATATTTCAAATATTATTGGAAAGTGATTGATGTAATAGATAAATGTAGGCGATACCTCAACACAAACGTTCTGAAACAATTCAAAAGTAATAAAAAAAAATTTTCGTTTTTAGATTTTTAAGAAAGAACTGAACCAACTGAAACATTTAGCAGTTGACAGTAGGTGGTTTCTTATTTTACCTGAACATGATTGAATAAAAGTGGTGTTCTAGACGAATTTTTCATTGGTTCCGTTGAAAATGCCTCATCATGTCGATGCAGAAAACTAAATAAATGATAAGTTGGAATTGAAAAATACAGGCAAAAAAACGGTAAGCGAACGAGTTGAACAGATTTTTGTTGTTAAACCTAGACAAATTATAAAAAACTGCTTATACTGTGTTCACACATCATTCTTAACGGCATACTTGAATTGGCAGAATACGTCAGTATACTCTTCAGATATGTCCATTGCCTGTACCACTTTAATGCGGAAACAATATTCTTTGCCTTCCTCAACCACTTGATCGCCGATCATAAACTTTTGCTCTAAAGTTTTGCACGTGATAAATCACCAACATTTTCTGGTAACAGTATATTTAGAAAAAAAGTGGAGTAGACATCGATCTTCTTCTTTAGCCTCAATAAAAATCAAAATATAAAATTGAATGTGAACAAATGATGAAAACAATACGTTTATCGTTATTTTCATTGACCATATTTGAATAATCGTTTCCATTCAAATTAGCGTCACATTGCTCTTTTCTGATCTGTGATTTAAAATCATCCTCATTGAATGAACATTTAATTGACTGTTCAACTTTCCGCATTTCTCGTGCGGTTTCTGAAATACGTCGAAATAAACGTGATTTTTTTCTTTCCCTTTTTTTTAATCGCCTAACGTTCCACCAGTTGATACTCTAATCCATTTATTTACTTGACTACGTACTTTTCGTCGCCTTTTATATACTTTGTACAAATTCAATACTATATTTAAAAACAACAAGTTTAACCTGTCGTCACTGGTTCAATAGCGACTCGTAAATGTCCCATAACTTCGCCCCGTTCATTCACAATCACAACTTTGTGCACAAGAAAGACGTTGTACATCAGATTGTTAAGATAGACAAACGCTCTTGAAAAAACTTCTAATCATAATTATACCTTAATTTATTTCATCAGCAGTTATTTAGCCAAAAAAAAATCATGAAATAGCGACAATCATTCTGAGTACCTTCCGATCATGCGAAACCACGGAAATCTGTCGTAAAAGGGATCAGAACCCAACAAAGCCTCCATCATAGGGTCGTCCGGGCTGCCAGGACTAGAATCTGGCTCCACTTCATACATCTCTCTCATTGATTCGAGACGTTTTCTGCAAATAACATCTATTCGCTAACCACTACAAAAACCAAATTTTAAGAACAATAAATTATGTATTAGAAAAGCGGTTGCAATCATTTGATTAGGTGAAAAAGGAAAACTTGTTAAACAGAGACAGTTCACACTTCTCAAAGTACCTAACCATTAACACTAAAATTTGAATCAGAATTAATCAGTTATACAGGCATAGCTT